TAACTCAGCCCCGGGGTTTGCCGAGGTCAAGCTTGTGACATTAAGGCGTGCTGCTGCAGCGGGTCGCCAGCAGCACCATCGGCTGCAGTTCTTTCATCGCGATTTCGTTAGAATAAATCCTTAGACCTTTTAAGCCAATTTCTGATGTCCATTTTTTAATTCAAACAGAAATGGGAGTCTACAGAATGCACAATAAACAATAAACAAATCCAGACTAGTCTGGTCTAAATGTGGACGAATCACAATTCACAACAGACACATGCATTTATTTATTTAAGTTACTATCTGACATCACATACATCGTAGCATAAAAGTTCACCGTTTATTTATAATAAAAAATAAAAAATAAAAATAAGAAATAATGATTTTTATAAATAATAAAAAACGTGTTTATTAGGAGAGGGCAGGAATGTCAAATGGGAGGGCCTGGCCCTCCCTGGCCCTCCCACGGCGCAGGGCATGACCGCAGCTCATAGCTTGACACCGCTATACTGTGTGTGTTTTTGATAACAAACACCGCCACACTGGGGCGGTTTTGGCGCATTGGTTAGAGCGTTGGTCATCAGATCAAGGGGCGTTGGTGAACTCCAGTTCGAATGCCTCCTCGGCCGCCACTGCGTCAGGCCGTTGTGTCCTTGGGCAAGACACTTTACCCGCATTTGCTCCTGTGGGTAATGTCCACAGTAATGACTCTTACATGTCTAATATGTGTAATGTGTATTTGTAAAGCGCTTTGAGCACCTGTAAAAGCGCTCTAATAAAAAATGTAATCCATTATTATTATTATTATTATTATAACAAATGTATTTTGGTTGGTGGATGTAAAGAGATAGTCTTTTGAATTTGTCTTGTAAAATATGACATACAACGTAAATTAATCATTTGTTTGTATTATTGTTTTACAAGTTCTTTGAAATAAATCAATTTTGTGTGTGTGTGTGTGTGTGTGTGCGCTCTGCAGCTCTGTGGTGCAGGAGCTGACCTCTGGAGAGTTGAACTACACCCTGCAGATGAGCGCCTACGAGGACCAGAACCTCCTGAATGTCGTGAAGCCAGAGACAGAGCTGCTGCTGAACCAGAGGATCTGGTTAGAGCTGAAGACGGAGGGTTTGGACGGGAACAGATTCTCCATCGTGACGGACTCCTGCTGGGCCACCAGCCAGTCGTCTCCAAACGGCAGCCTGAGATACGACCTCATCAACAGCGGGTGAGACAAACAAAGATCTGAGAGAGCATGCAAAACACCTACTTTGTTTGTGAGCCGTGGAAATATCTAATGAGCAAAATAAAACACCATTTTATTTATTTTTTCATGGTATGCACAACTTAATGTAAGACAATGAGTTACAAAGCATGTCTCTGTAAACACACCGTACCCGAAAAGAAGCAGGGAGAAGAGAACCATCTGATATCACCTGCCCCTTTCTCAAAGGATCTGTACTGCAGATTCAGTACATCCTGGTACTTTAAATATTATCCAGTCCAATCCAACTTTATTTATTCAGCACGTTTCAAAACAACACCAATAGGCCCAAAAAACTAATGTAAAAACACGAGACAATAAAACCATGCTTCTAGCCACAGACTGAGAAACACTCACACACGATGTAAAAACATTTAAAAACACAACTACATAGAAAACTGAAATGATGTTTGGGGCATCATAAGAAAGGTCTGCTGCTGAACATGTAGTCATGATGTCTGTGTTCCTGTTCCTCAACAGATGCCCGAACGCTAACGATGAGACGGTGAGAATGAGTGGAAACGGACAGGGAACCTCCAACGTGTTCTCTTTTAACATGTTCGTGTTCAACGGAGGAAACAGAGAAATCTTCCTGCACTGCAAACTGGAGCTGTGCGTCAGGATGGGAAACTCCTGCCAGCCGGTAAGAACAGAGAAACACCATTAAAATCTAATGTGTGTTACTAAGATGATGTTTCTGCATCTCAGAAGAAGAAAGTAGAGTAACCTATTTAATACTGTTAGCAATCCGAGGCTCATGCTAAGCTAGCATCTTGATAATGGTTATTTTTAAGGCACCCATTCATTGGTCACAGGCATTGAATACACTGAGCATCCCTAGTTAATACCAAAGCTTACTTATTTACACAAGCTAACCTTAGGTTGTTAAGCTAACTTACTAACTTACTTTGGTTACATAAGCTAATTGTAGCTACTAAAGCTAACCTTAGTTACTTAAGAACATTTAGGTTATCTAAGCTA